GATCGTATACGTCAATGGGCAAGACATACTATTGTGACTATTGTGACAGATCTTTCAAAGATGATGTCGAAGCTCGTAAAAAGCATCTATCCAGTATGCAGCACATGACAAATCGAGCGAGTCATTACAGCACATTTAAAGGTAAGCGTTCAACAATATTTCTTTTATTTACTTCTTTGTTTAATGCCATTATATTTTATATAACCTCTCTTGTACTTGCATATAATTAATCAAATTATAATCTGATGACACTAATTTATTATTAACATTTTTAGATCCAGAAACGATATTAAAAGAAGAATACTGCAAAACTCCATGTAAACGCTATATGACTATTGGAGACTGTGCGTTTGGTTCTGGTTGTCGATTTTCGCATTACACACCACCAATGATATGGGAACTTCAACAGCTTGGTAACGATCTATCCAGACAAACTTGCATAATTGCATAAATATACACGAAGAAAATTAACAAATCGTATTTTACATGCATTCTTATAACAGAAATGCAATTAGATAATTTTCTTTATACAATTATGCAAGTTTGTTTGGAAAGACTCTAAATATTCTATTTATTCTATCGACCATCCTATTATTGCCACGTTAAACGTTAATCTTCAGTAGATAAAGTTTTATTTTTAGCTGCGATGAAAAAGTCCAAAGCTTCAATGGCTCAACCTAAGGATGGCTGGCCAAATTCAGAAGATATTATCAAGGAATATTTTGAGAATGTAATCGACTCGAGCGACACTGAGGATCTTAATCATTTGATGTGGAACACACCATCAAAATTAATCGATTATCCTTATTTACCACCTTCTTTGCAGCCCATCATGTCCGAAAGAATGATGGACTGCAATTTTAGTAAATGGGGTTGAAATATTGATTTTAGAAATTCTAAAAATAAACATATATTGATAATTCCTATCGTGTCACTCCTCGGAGTGACGATTCCAAATTGTACATTTATCTCATCAAGCTTCGAACTAAACGACGCGTCACCGGCGTTGCTATCATTCGAATCAGAAAGAAACCTGAGAGTATCATCATATTAGCAAACCTTTTTCGTTTATACCAATGTAGCAATGTCCATTTTTGTAATATAGGATCTATGTACTATGGTTATTTTATGAAATTGTCGATAAAATCATGGTGTCGAAAATGAATATGAAGCATGTCGATATTAAAAAGAGCCAATCTTGGCAGCTCTTATTAAAGTCTCTTTTATCAATTCCAATTAACGTGGTCAACTCAATAATCGCGATTGTTAGAATTAAACTATTTATCTCAGAAGAAAAAGAGAGAGAAGATATTCTGATACATTAGAATTCCGTTCCGTAACAAGTTTCTTTAGCAGTTCCATGTAGTCGGAATGGAACGAAAGTCGCGTCGGTCGCAAGTTAATTTGCTTGATTTGATCGATATTTCATTATTTAAATATTGATTTACAGCTAAGCAGACCGCTGAGAAGATGACTCAAATAATCGAAATACGTATAGTATATTGTCATATATAGAATTTGAAATCGTGATTAATTGTGAGAATAAATTAATAAAGCTAGATAAGCTAGATAAAGCTCAAGTCGTCAGGTCCACTATGTGAACAATACTATGAACCTTCCACAGATATTGCATCCCGGGTTCGTCTGTTATTCACTGCAAATATTGAAAATCTATAGTTCATGTTGTGTATATACTATAGATTTTCAATATACTGAATAATAGTGTGATCTTTTTTTTTTTTAATACTTTATAACGAAGCGTCCATCATGTAGTCCATAATATTGTTGCTTTTATCAACTATATTTCTTAGCTATATATATATATATATTTTAATCAGAGTTACGTTATTTACGAGACTTGATTGATTAAATGTATGTTTAAACATTTATGTACCAATAATACATTTCAAGAGCCAATCCTGGAAATTCTTATTAGCACGGACGCACACCACACATCCATTTTCGACACTATGATTTTATCGACAATTTCACAAAATCGACGTGCTATCTAGTTCCCATATCTCAAAAATGTACGTTGGTGCGCTGGTACAGAGTGTTACACGAAAAAAGCCGAGATAATCGCTCTCAGGTTTCTCTCTGTCCGAACAAAGTCCCCTCCGTTCTCCCTTCCAAAATCGCTTTACACCAATCGCCAAGCAGACCCGCCTTCGCACGGTGATGTTGCTATGGAACACAGTGACGGAGCACTCGTTGCCACGACAGTGTAAGTCGGCACGTGATGCGACGCAACGCGATGCGACGCGACGCGCCGCGTCTGTCGAATTGACGTCGATTAAAAAAAAAAAAAAACAAACAAAAGAGAAAAAGAAACTCCTTTTTAGAGGGCAAAAAGGTGGACGAACTGATCTCGCGAGTGTACTCCATTTGTGCGGAGAAAATATGAGTGTTCGCGAGCGCCGGTCTGGAGTCTACCTCGCATCATTCACAAGCGCCTGGTGGACGCGTTGAAAAAAATCCGAGTGCCACCTCTGGAGGGGCCTTTACCGATTTAGCGAGATTGGAATTCGGCTGGACCCTTCCAGATCGCGTCGGTGAGTCCCACGATAAATTCTTTTCTACCGTGACATGGGCCCATACGAGCGATCGGGATCGTAAAAATTCAGAAATCAAAGTGAAAGAAGCAAGCATGAACGTATGGGAAATACTAGATATTCAAAAAAGAGCAGATCGCTCTGTATTGTGTCTTAAAGTGTGGAACTAGGAAAATAATATCCTAAGAAGAATTTGGAATTAAATCGAGAAATTAATTTTGTACTTTAAGCGAAATATATAGTTCTACAATTATTTTATACAGTTCTAAAGTTGTTTCATGTTAAAACTTGTACAAATTTATATCAGATTAAATATTTAGAATGCATGAATAATAAAAGGCTTTTCTTCGTTTAATTTTGCAATTTAACTGAGTTGTAACTCGAGAATTAACGGATGTTATCGAGGATATACATTCCAGAACAAAAGTTTGGAAATACTTCCAAAAATGGATATTTTTTTAAATTTAATTTAAATATCCATAACAATGTTGTGTGTGTGTTTTTTTAACGGTAATTCTTCAGGTCTAATAATAATTATTGAATCTAAACTATTGAATCTAAACACATTGTTAAAAAAAAAACACATTGTTATGGATATTTGAATAAGTAAATTCAAAAATGTCAATGTAAAGTAAAAATTTAAAAAAGTATTTCCAAACTTTTTGCCTGGAATGTATAGATATAAAGATTGCACACTGAGAAAAGAAAAGTTGCTGTTTCAAAAAAATATTAGTAGATTCAACTAAATGTAGCGGTCACAGGCTGTCAAGAAATTATTTATTAAATCAAACAAATAACATGTTTAAAATTATAAGATTTTGTTAACCTAAACATATAAATATTGAAACTAAATAATTATTACGAACTAAACGCATTTAATCAAATTAATAACTTCTTTTTCTCAGTGTAAGTTTATAATTCCTATACATTTATGCCAAGTACGTGTAGTACAGAAACAGAAAGTTTCTTGCGCGCGGTCAGCTCATTGCAATGTACGCACCGTTTCTCGTGCACATGACATCATGTCTTGAATAAAAAATTTCTGATTGTTGGATAGGCCAAGGACGCATTCGTCTGATCAGCGCTATCATTAGATATACATAACTTTCTTTATTCAGGGAAAAAAAGAGTTGAATTAAAAAAATAGAGAAGAGTGTGTAATTTGGCAGAAATCAATTCTCGCCGATTTTTCTCAATTAACGCATACTTATATATGCATTCCGTTCGCGAGTGCGGGTTGACACTGACAGCTGAGCCGGACATAGCGTGAAATAGAATACGGTCTTACGTTCTGTGCTCGGAATGCACATTGAAGCGTATAGGAAAATTAAATCGGATTTTTGTTTAAAGAGAGATAACGCTTTTATGCCCAATTTCTTCACCTCTAGATAACTTTATCCTAGAGATATTTCCCAGAATACAATGGAGATATCTCCTGGATAAGATTATCCGCAACTTATTTGGAAGTGAAGAAATTGGACATTAAACTGTCATATCTTTATGGGGTTTCCATTATTATCAAATGTATCTGGAGTACACTTTTTTTTTAATGATTAATAATGAACAATCAATTTGTTATTTTGTGACTATTAAGACAAATGGTTATATTACTTTTTGGAAACTACACGTGGAAATTATGAAAAATAAAATAGGCAGGACGATAAATGCAACATGACGGCGTGATGATGGCAACGACCCGAAGAGCTTTGTACAATCCAGTCACGATTCTCGGTGGAGGTCGTGACCTTGCCGATATGCAGGATACGCGGAGAATCGGGCGATAATCCTGAGTGTGTTGGGAATCTCGATTATGTCGAGTTAGTACCACAAACATTCGTGGAACAATTCATAAAGAAAATGGATAAATCAGAATTGATTCATCTTATATTGAAATAGTTAGTAGAGTAAGCAAGAGCACAAAGATATGTAAATTAGTCATCGATCTCCAAAAGCAAACATTCAATTTTATGGGACGAGGAAATATATCTTCTTTTAAAAGAAAAGTCGACTTTAACAGAATATATTACCCCAGAATGAATTTCACCACGTTAACCGTCGTAAGAGACTTTACAAATGAATCTTAAACGCAATGAGTCTTGAACGCGAACCTGGATCGATTTGACGACCCATTCTCGTTCATTGTTGTGTTCCCGTGAATTGTCCGTTGTGAAGCAGCTGCCTATGGTGGTGCGTATGTCCCTTATGCCGAACAATGTTTTTGCCAATGCATCCCCAATCGTGCGACTCGCTCTGCAAATCTCCCTTTTTGCAGATTTTTCCATAGAGGATAGTTTGGTCGGTACTTTCGCGCGGACTTATTTTAGAAAGTTATACTAAGAGAAAAGTAAGTTTGGTATTTGTGACTATAATTGCATAGCAAGCAAAAATAATTATGAGCTTAAGAGCTCTATTATTATAATTATTACTGCTATAATTGTTAGTAATAATTATTATTATTTATAGTTCCATATATGCAAAATTATTGGCACCGAAGTGTCACACATTTTTCTCTTACAAATAGAATTTACACATATATTGAGAAGTATCCATATTTTACTGTAAAGTGAAGCGAAAGAAAAGTAAAATAAAAGAAATTTACGTATACTCGTATAATAACAAATGTTTCTAATTCTAAAACAGTTATCGTTGGACGCTGCATAAATACACAAGCTTCGTCTTGATCTCGTCTTCGAATTCATCTCGTTCTCCAATGCTGAACAGTAGAACCCGCTAAAAACATACCACCCAACAATTTAACGTCATTTATTTCTATTGCCTTTATACGGGCCGTTACGTCATGCCGATTTCTCCGCCCTTCGTTGCCATTCTCATGCCGAGCCGCAGCTATGCAAAGTAAATTTCTCAGCTGTTTTTCGCCAGACAAAAGTTTCTCATTGAAATTTTTCAACGCGACCTAAGGATGCACGAACCAAGAAACGCAAACGCGGATCAATAATTTAATCGATGTAGTAAGCGTTATGAATACCGGCTCGAAAAACCAGTTATACTTCGTTAAAACACGCTCTGCTGTTTCTCAAAAGGTTCGTAACGCCTGTAGATCGACCTTGAGAATAAAGACCTCCTAAACATATTTAATACATTATACTCGTTACGAGTTTATGTTTCTACAGTACTTTCGCTTTGACTGCTCAACAGCGTAAAATACTGCCTTGAGAATCGAGTGACGAGGCGGTATTTTTCTTTCTCTCTGGTTTTACCTAATATTCTAACCGATCTAATACGTATCATTTAAATTTCCGAAAGGCGCGGCGTTAATCGATGTCGATTATAAAGCGCGTGCAACACAAGCCGGATTCTATATCTGCCCACGTAATGTCATTCAGAAAACGAGTGGGAACTTTTGTTTGGGTGGAAAATGAAAAAGGATCCTACGTGCGCTCTTTATACTCGCGCAGATACAATTAAAAAAAAAAAAAAAAAGATAAGAAAACAGTGAACCATAATAAGTAATTTAACAAAACTTTAAGACAAATAATTGAAATTTAAAAAAATAGAAATACTTGTACAGAAAATAATTTTAATGGATACAATGGAGCAATTAATATAGCAAACACTTGTTATGTCAGCAAGTAACTTGTTAAGCCATCTGTCAAAATCGAAACGTATAAAGCGACCGCGTAAATATGTAGTTATATTTCGTGCTACTCATCTAGATATTTTATTATTTCATCGATAAACATCTCGTACATCTATAAGATATCTTTACATTGGCGTTAATGCAGCTCGATGGGAAGCTGCCTAAAGGGTCTGCATACGAGAAGAGTGATAAAAAATGAAACTGAAGAAGCAGACGGAGAGGAAGATGCGGTTGCCAGGCAGATGTCGCCGGCAGACAAGCGAAACTGGTGATTCGTAAAATGTTCGCACGAACGATTGTCACGCAACAACTATGACATTATATGACGTATATATGTGTGTGTGTATCTTTTCGTTTAGTTACGTACATTGAGCTAGTATTTCCAAGTTAGCTCTTGCTCCTTCGCTCTAGATTGTTTTCCTTTAAATCATTAACCGCTATAGATGTTAGATTCTACGCATCGTTTGAAATCAATTGCCGCAAATTTAGACAATTACCATGCCTCTATATCGATATAGCTGCTGACAAGT